TCGGTACTAACAAGTTAAAAAATACTTTATATCGAAACTAAGTTGGAAATATTAAAGATTAAATTAAAGAAGATGACCTTCGACTTTGTTTTAGGGGTCTGCAAGAACTACCATTGTTAACAACGTTCGAAGTTCAGTTCTTGGGTTGTTCTCAAGGCCTAAATTAATAATCGATTATTAACATGCGTTGTATTGAATTTTCTGTGTACAATATAGTTGATTAAGGTTGGTTATTGATTTCGGCCGTAAATATCTTCAGCTTTAACAAGATAAAACAATATATTCCATTATTTTAAAGTCATACTAGCAAATAACAATATAAGCGATAATAAATTGCTCAAATAATGAATCTTCAAACAACGTAAACATAAATAGTGCCTTCATTTCTAATTAATATTTTCAAGCAACCGAAACTGAAGACTGGAATGAGGTTGGTACTTAGACGGTTGTAGAGCTATTATTATTAGTATTTAGGCTGGGTCTAGATATGTATTTACGGCACTAATAAACAAATGACACGACTAGTCGAGTCGAATGAAGTGTATGAGTTTTTAAAACAACTATCGTGAGACATACTAAATTAACTAAAAACAGGTTTTAGTTAATTTAGTAGGTTACTCGCATGCATATACTGATCTCATGAGCTCATAAGGAAGATAAGCTTTTCTCAGTGTATTCACGGGAGTAACCCCCTATTTTTAGGTTATTAGAAATATATGAGATTTACATAAGGCAAAAGTCGATTCGCCATCTACGAATACCAGGCCAACCTTCTTATATAGAGGAGACCTATAGTCCAGTAGGCACAGCCTTTTGATGGTTGATGATGATTAAGTGAATCTCGTACATTGACTGTTATATGGACCCTGTTAAGCAGAAAAGATCCAGCCCACATTTTATTACTTTTGAGTAAATGAAGTTTAAAGTAATCATTTGATACAGTATCTATCCAATGAATGGGCTGAATCATTTCTGCTTAACAGGGTCCATATATTATTCGACAATGCGTATGTTATTTGTCTAATAGGCCAGTAAAAACACAAACACAATACCTAATCTCTAAAATTTTATAGATTTTAAACTTTATTGTACTGTAACAAAGTCGAAAATGTATTAAATATTACAGCAGGTTGATGTGTAAACCTACCAAAATGTGGTTTGGGGTTGTTGGAATTTACATCTATCTGAATATTCTGACCCCAGCTTTATATGATTTTTAATTATACATTCGAGTCGATGAGGGTTCCGTACATACTCATAAGTTTAAGAATTAATAAAAATATCTTAAAATCTTTGCGTATATTTTTAATTAAGGTGATGCATTTATGAAACATCGAGTGAGTTTGTGGCAATGGAGTTTAATTTAACACTTGCCAAGCTAAATTGATTCTTGTTTACACGAATTTCGAAACTAAAATTGTAATATTGAACCCATTGTCACGTGGTTGTAGGATAAAATTAACATTTAAGTTGAATTTAGGTTACTTATTTAACATTATTGATAGTACGGTCACAATTATTTTATTAAAACACTCGTAATTTAGTGAAAATACTGAATTTTTAACGAACTTTTTTGAATGAGGCTATTTACGATATTTTTAGCAAGATATCTAGGAGATTGTGAAGTTTCAGAATTATCAATCCCCTTCGTTTGATAAAAGAACTAGGTATGTTTTTTTAACATAATTTGCTAAAAATATTGTTCGTGGCCAAAAATTGCAGCCATTACTGCGACACAAAAATATAGTTATTAAATTATCGATTTAGAATTTGTGCAGATTTTTTTATTTGTATTCAAAAAATGAGGTAATATTTTTGGTTAAAATAGAAATAATATACTAATATTAATCCCATGTGTTTAGACCTCACAAAAAGCACTTTACGTACTTAATGTGTCGCACTATCGAAACTCTTCACATAGCAAATAGCAATCAAGTTTGTATGTTCGTAAACTTTCAAATCTACGTGTTTTCAATAAAAATGAATGTTGTCAAAATTGGACTTTTATTTTTTTATCAATATTTCTTAATAGCTTCGGCTTGCGTTTTCGTCAGGAAAAAGTAGCCTATTGTGTTAATCTAGACCATAATCTACCACTGCTCCAAATTTCATCTCGATCCCTTCAGCCGTTTTGACGTGAAAGAATAACAAACAGACGCATACATCCTCACAAACTTGCGAATTTATAATATTAGTAGGATTCCTTGCCTATAGTCCTTCGCTCAGGAACAACGATACATGGCTAGATGAGCGTTTGTTGATCACATTTAAATTAAAACCTCATCTTCTATAATATAATATAAAAATGAATCGCAAAATGTGTTGGTAAGCGTATAACTCAACAACGCCTCGACCAATTTAGCCAATTCTTTTTTTAAGATGTTGGCTGAAATCCAAAGATGGTTCTTACGGCGAGAAAGAATCGAATAATTGCCGGGAAAACCCTAAAAACCGCCCTTTTCTTTTTCACATACAAACGTTTTCTAACTACTTAAAACGTAAAATCAATTTGAGCTTTATTGCTATTTTATAAAGTTTATATGAAATTACAAGTAAGTACTCACTGTTATCTAAGAAATGTAGGTATGTTCCTAACGTCAAAAAGTACATTTGCACTTTCTTACCGCTATACAAAGTTCAAATTCAATTCAAATCTAACAAAAAAGTCGAATGAAATACAGAAAAACACAGTAAAAATGAATCCCTTTTTCCCTTGGTCCCGGCATCACGCGTGAATGGCTGGACCGATTTCAGTAATTCTTTTTTGTTGTAGTTATATTATTAGGAGAATGTTATTAACACAGAAAAAGTCCTGAAAAACCTACGGGAACGGGAGAAAACGGAATTGCGCGTACGAAGTCGCGGGCAGAAGTTAGCTTTTTATATTTTTTACTGCCCATCAAACCAGCTTCGTAGCGTGTTGCAGTCGCATCGCCAGTTGTAAAATTATTTAAGGTTGATTTTACAATAACGTTACTACGATTAAATAAAGGATTAATTATCGGAGTTAAGTGGCCCGAGACTATCTCCAAATTAGAGCTGTTGGAAAATGTTACAAAAACTTGATGCCTGAAGTGTGAAGCTTAAGATCGATTACGATGGAGGGCTTACAGAAGCCCTGAAGGGACCATCTAGGGGACATTATACTTTAAGCCAGGTAAGTTAAATACTCCAGGGACTGAGAACCGGAAAATTAAGGTACCTTTAAATTGCGGTCTGACGTCATACCGATAAATAAAGGATACCGCTTTATTTCGGTATCGAAATTTTGTTTCGGTACTGTTATTTTTGGGTATCAAATGGAAACCGCTATATTTCGGTATGTCGAGGTGGCCCGGAGGTTTAAGACGCCCGCTTCTCATGCATGAGGGTTCGAAACCTACCAACGACAAGTACCAATGTGACTTTTTCCGAGATTATCTAGACAAACGGTGAAGGAAAACATCGTGAGGAAACCTGGGCTTATAATTTCTAATTATAAGTTTGTAATCGCCAATCCGCATTGAGCAGGCGTGGTGATTAATGCTTAAACCTTCTCGATAAGAGAAGAGGCTTTGCTCAGCAGTGGGCATTTATAGGCTGTTGATGATGATGATGATGATATTTCGGCACCGGTATGAAAGAGATTTTGGTCGCGCTAGTTCATGTCACCTTTTTCATCGAATTGAAATACATAGTTTGGCTTGTTCTCGTAAGTGTGTTCTACTTGCACCCTGCTCTTGGAATGGCGGCAAAAATTGTATTTTTACAATATTTATTTTCTTGTGGATTTTACGAAGAAAAGAACGTTGACTACAAAATTAAACTAGACACAATTTTTTACAATTTATGTTCAGCCCAGACAGCATTTAAGTATGTAAAATAAGTAACGTTAGCGCCAAGTACACTTCAATGATCATTTAGGAAGAAAATTAATTTCCACACCACGTGAGGATAAAACGGTGCGTTTTTATAGTGTAGTTTTTTATAGGCCTAATGCTCATGTGATTGTGATACGTACACTTTTGAAACTTGACATAGTCTCCAAACCACACCGGTCTCTGCACACAGTGGGCGCGGCGCGGCGGGACGGGACGGCGACGAATGATGACATTACCCACAAATTCGGTCAGAATATTACATTTACGTATTTACGTTTTCGCTCCACAGTTGTTTTCTATACATATACCATAACAAGAGTATTATCGATAGACTCTAGTGAAAGAAACGTGCTAACCCCTGACAGTAACGGCGGCAACAGGTATGAAAAACAGGCAAACGGGCGCGCTTACCGTAGTAAAGTAAATTAGTACCGAAGTGCGTAACTGCGCCTGCGACCCTATAGCGTTAGCACGCCAGTCGTCTCCCAGCTTTGGTGTTAACCAGTAATATTTTGTAATATTAGATTAGTTGTGAATTGTGTATTTTCTAAGGACAATATAAAAACAAAGTTTTACCTATTTTATTTTGGACTTTCATTGAACACACGAACTATTCTGGAGTAAAGTGAATTTAAATAAGAATACACACCACATTCTAAATATTAAAACAGTTATTATCACTCACACTCCATACCCCTCGCACCTCACACTTTACGTCCCGCAACGGTCAAATTTAAATTTTTCGGTACCGAAATCGCATAAAGGTTACATAACGGTATAGCTTTAATTTCGGTACACTTATTTTAAACTGGTACCGTACCATTATACCTTAACCGCTTTCAGTCCCTGAATACTCTCTTTTTTAAATAATCTAGCTCAGCGTTGAAGCGTGCGCGACGGTACGCATCTACCATCAGCATAATCTCTACTTATAATGGTAATATTACCTTTTTGCTGGAAGTAGGTAATACTATTTTCGGCGTAATAGGGGTAGATTATTTATCATAGACATGTTTATATGTTTTCGGCTTACTCACTTAATTATTTGACGAGGAGCTCGACTAGTTTCAAGTCATGCTAGAAGCTCAAAGCCAAAAAAAATATTTTTAGGAATTTTTCAAATAAAATAAAACAAAAATGTATAATATTTACTCCATTTATATTCCACATCTGACAATATCAACGGTCCCATATAAACAATAGCTTACACAATCTACATAACATCACGACGATTATTACAGAAAGGAAGGCACTTCTAGAAGTAAGGTTTGTCTAATTAGTTAAAAATTACCACAGAATTTATTTATTGGCCGATTACGATTAATCTACAGAAAAACAATTTTAAAACACGATAGAGGATTTTTTGTAACGAGCTTTTAATCTAAATTAATGGCGTCTATGTAAAACAGCCGAAAATAAACTTAAAATTATACATAAAAGAAATTACAATTACAATTGCACTCTTTATTATTTTCGACACAGCTCGTTATAACATAACATTCCATTATTATGAGATACTATAACATATTAGATTTTACTATTTATTTACATTTTTGAAATGTTACACAAACATGAGGTATGAAAGTTTATTTAAAATGTTAACTAGAACTACAGATTTGAAGAATGACTTTCATATTATCTACATACTGTAACAATCAATTATAAATTATGTTAAATACTGCAACATTGGTTAAAGTTAAGAGAATGTTAAAACCCGCGCAAGCGCATTCGCCACCGTGTTTAACAACCGGCCATTCGAACCCTGTTCGTTAAAAGGTAAAATGTAGATTAAAAATAACAAAAGTGACAGCCAAAATTATTTATAAACAATAAAACGTAATTTGTACTGTAAACTTAACCTTCCAGTAACTGAAAGTTTCAGTAAAATCATGTTAAATCCGAACACATACATAAAACACTATCTATTTCATACCGAGGTCATATAAGTTTATGTTATCGATACAAACAATTTTAATAATAATAATAAAACACGTGATCTTAAAACTTATGAAAACTAGAGTGAAATCCATACGGCTAGGAAACGTAAAAATAAATAATATAGAATTAAAATATACTACATACAAGATCGACTACGAACTAAAACATATCGCCCGAGTTCAAATTCTTCAAAATCAACATTTAATCACATAATAAAAATGTATTTTTAAATGCCTCCTCTTCATTAGCACATAAAATGACACCGTCCACCAAGCCGTATGAACTTAGAACAATAAAAATATTAAAAAATATATCATCATGAACATTTAAAACCCTAAAATAATAAAAACAACATTCGACTATCAAAATATAATTATTACCATAAAATAAATTGTATAAACGCTAGTAGAATGACTGCGATCTCAGATTTATGTAGATAATAATTAATCGACATTATTCTCAGCATAGACCCAACCCCCTTTAAAATAATCCAGAATGGGTGTTTGCATAGTGTCAATTCTCGTATGGAATAAATCTTTCTACAATTTGCAGATATTTTGTAAAACACCCATAACTCGGGAGATTGTGTCTTGTCTTAGTTAGTTGCTATGCTGAAAATAATACAATGTCTTGTGAAATATAATTACAATATCTATCCTAAAAGCACTGGGCAGTGTTAAAATATTAAAAAATAATATATAATACTATACCAAGGTAACATTGCTTCAAATATACCGTTATCTATAATAAAAACACGTTTTAACAGTGCACAAAGTAGACTTAATAGATCAAATATTATTTTTATAATGCTTTCTCAAAATTTCTTCGTTTCTAACAACATGATCTCATACTAATACCCGAATACTAAGCTTAACTGTACTCATAGTACATTATTCTAGCTTTTAATCGCTCCGGGTATAAACCAAACCATGAAAGATAACGATAATAACTGAAGTTCATTAAACAATGTGCACTGCAAAACATCTCAAGTATTAAACAATTTCGACACCCGTAGTGCGTCAAAAATTAAAAATATTAATTCACATGATAATTAAAATAAAATCTGTGTAAGGGAGTCACAATAATTATGTCCCTCGCACCGTAGACTACGTCCATCCTCGATTAGAAACTATATGAATTATATTTGTACGATAAACGCAAGCTAAATGCATCGTTATTTCAACATAGTAACATTCCGACCGCGTCGTATTATTACTAATACACGAGACGAATCCAAAATGCTAAATTACATAGAAAATATATTGTGAAGATTCATTAGCACCAATCTAAATCCATTTTTAGTTATTTCTCTATCTGTTTCAAAGTAACTTGGCTTATGGCAGTTTCTTTGCATGGCCATGTTTCGGCACGAATAGGCCGGATCGATAGGAGTGACACCACGGCCTCACAGAAAACCGACGTGAAATAACGCTTGCGTTGTGTTTCACCGTGTGAGTGAGGTTATTGGAGAGTGAGTTCCTCCCCTTTCCTTGGGGACTTGAAAAACGCCCTTCATAAAGTTTATACAAAGAAGTAAATACAGCATATAACTGACTAACATAGAATAAATTCAATCTTTTACACCCCAGTGGAAACTGCAACTTCAGTTTTCATGCATTTTCAAAATATTTTTAGTAAATTCTCAATTCAGATTCGTCTCAAATGAACTGGTAATAGCTTACAGACAGATGAGCTAGTTAGTGGCATTATATCTTGGAGCGCGGCAGTGTGACCACCTCGCGCCACCAGGGGGCGCGCTCGAACGCTCCGGGTTGGCTGAAGAACGCCTTCTGTATGTTCTGGTAGAGCTGCGGAAGAGAATTAGATTTTTTTATTCATTTATTTATTTATTTGGACATACAGTTGTTGCTACATTTTTATCATTAACTTTAAATTAGGAATTAACATCTTACTCCTAATGCACAACATTTGAAGGACATCACAGCATGCGTTGAGAACACTATATCAATTAAATTAAATTTACTTAATTTGTCTACATTACCGAATTTGCAATAAGATTAGATTTGTAGTTGTTTCATAGGCACTACTGATCATTTTATATAGTCTATTTTACGTTAGATTTTTTTTCGTTAGATCGAACGTATACCTAGTGGATTATTATTCCTAATCTTTTTTTGCATTTCGGATGAGTTTTGCGCTAATGAGTTCTAAAGTCGAATTAGTTCAACCACTTTAACAGTCATAAATTGACAGACATTAGCAAATATTATATTGGCTAAGAAACTGAGGTACACTAGAGCCTTTAGCGGCGCTAAAACCCTCATTCAATGTCAAGTTAACAACTACGTACACTATATTACAAGTTAACAACTAGACTACACAGTGTGTAACTCTATAGTTGTTAATCTTTTTAGGATACTCCTACTCTTCATAGATTATTCCCAAGATATCCAAATAAGTCTCACCTTCCCATCGCTCTTCCCGAGCACGGAGTTGAGCACGAAGTCAGTGGGTGCGAGCGCGTCCACTATACTGACCACCTCTCCCTTCAGCTCGGCGCATAACTCCAATATCGCATCACGCAATAACCGTGCTAGTGATTCACCCTGTAATAAAAAAAATATTAAAATTATTGAGGAAGAAACACAATTTCAAATATGTTTAGAATTTGATTAAAAACTTCTTTTCTGGGTGAATGATACACCCGAAGAATTTGTTTAGAATAAATTACTTTTATAATTTTCATATATGAGTTTCGAATTGAGCTTAGGTGATACTATCACGCTAAGACTTACGAGTTTAATCTCAGTCTATCCCATTTGGATTCAAATAAAATCCAATATATCATATATTAATGTATTAATTAATGCGTACCTGTGAATATCCTCCCTGATACAATTCAACTAGATGCTGGTCCAGAGACCAGAGCCCGTATAGACAGAACAACTTGTGCAGCACTGGCTTCAAACCATCTTCCTTCTTGTCCATAGACTCCAAGAAGAATATTATCGCTAAGTACTCAGCATACGACTTCGTTAGCTCTCTCCATTTGTAAACTTGTGATCTCGCACGGGCCTCGAACTTTGACAGACCTTTGGCTATTTCTGACTCATATTTATCATGTGTCTCCTTCAAAAGCCAACATATAAGCCATCTGTATGTTGATGTTATAACTGTGGAAACGAAAAAACAAAATTAGTTTACTAATTTAAGAAAATAGTTTAAATTAATTTTGGGCCTAAATCCGTACCTTGTGGTACACCAACTCAAAACTCATATTTAAGATATAGAAATTCAATCTGCAAATTCAACATCCCAATTACCTCATTTACAACAATTAAACTTCACTGACATTCCCAATACTACACACACGGAATATAGAATACAATGGAAGTAGCAAGTAGGCGTAGCACGCGTGCCACAACTAAGCTGTGCACTGCTTACTCGAGGCAAATTCGAGTTCAGTCTCGTTCGAACATGGCGTCGAGTTGCTAGTCTCGTGTCAAATACATATTTCCTCAACTATGCCGTTTTGTTCCGTTTTGGCGTGTAAAAATGATAGCAGCCGAAAAATCGTAAAAATGGAGGTGTTCCGTATCATCGGTAAGTACAATTTTTATTGTTTTCTTGTAGAAATCTTATTTTATTTCAATTTACAAAAACAGTTATTAAAATAATATTATTTACTAAAACGGTTAGTCAAAATCAACCTTACGCCTTCAAGATAAAGTTTATTTTGGATTTATTCCATTCAATAGAACATTCTCGCCAGTTCTACGCTACTCAAATAGTTATGTAGTCAAATCACATATTGAATTTATCGATTGATATCGATGCAAGTGTAATGTAACATTTATTTAGATTATTTTTTTATTATTATTTTAGTGGTGACCCCGACGTGATTGGAAGCAACCTTCACTTCACGGAGCAGATCAGCACCGTCATCCTTATCGCCATCTCTCATTTAACACATTATCCATATAAAGTTTGTAAAAATTTATGTAATAGTTGTTACTTATATTGCCTATGTGAAATAAATAAAATGATTTTTTGAAAAAAGAAACTAATAAAAAATACGAACAAAATGGTTTTTGATTTACATGTACATAAATACTTACACTTTTTTGTTACGTTTAAAAAGTTATCATCGATATATTAATTTTATTATTTTAATACTGTCACACTATAGCAGTCAATATTTTTTTTCATATTATTTTTAAAACACATTTTCATATTATCGATATTATTTTTATCGAATTAGGCTACATCACTATCTGAGTAGAGTCCCGCATTCGAGCCAGTGATAAGCCATTCAAATATCACCTTTATTCTTACAACGTTAAAGTTCAAACCAAGTACCACTTTTCGTCGCTAGATGGCATTGTTAAACGCCATCTAGTGACGAATGGCGGTACTTGGTAGTCCAAAATATACTTTTTTAATTTGATTTATAGTGCATTGGTTTTAAAGTTGCATATCGTATGATATTTTTTTTTGCATTTCGTTTACGCCCATTTTTTTTCTAACCAATCGTAATTTCCGATTTATAGTATGAGTAAATTATGAATGTATTAGTTTGGCGACACCGGTTCTGGCAGAAATATTGTTTCAAGCTACTTCCATTGTATTCTATATTCCGTGACTACACACATCATCACCTAACAACACAAGAAATCACAAATTACTTGAATCAAAAGCTTTACTAAGATCACAGAAATACTTACACTCTCTAGTTTTGAGCTCATCTGTCGTTCTACACCGGAACCTGACGGCTAGGCATCGTTCCCAATCTTTTAAAAAGGTGACTGTATTGAGCGGAGAGTCGACAGTGCCGCCATTACGCGCCGCGTCAAACTGTCTCAGTAACCAGTTGCCTGTCTGTTGCGATAGCACATTGTTGTCGCCTTCGTATGTCACTGTTGCCTCGTGGTTGCTGCGGATGTCGCCTAGATTTGAGCACTGTGGAGCAGATAGTTTAGATTTAATTTTACTTTTAAATACAATATTAATAGCTATTGATTTAAGATCGGTTTTATTTAGATTCTCAATAATACTCATCATCATCAACAGCATATGGTACTGGATTTGACTACGAGTTTCCTCTATACAAAAGAGGTTTCCCATTATCTCCACGCTTAGCATTTGGTTGCAGATCACATACTTTAAGAGATTCAGGAAGAGAGCGGTACTGACCGGCCTATGTAATATGCCTTGGTAGGCTCTTGTGCCGCGAGTGAATTATTGTTTTGATAGCCACTATTTTTACCTAGTTTTATATGGTAGACTGCCTCTTTGGCCGAGTGGTCGCTATTGCGAGGCGCAAGGGGTCTCGGGTTCGATTCCCGAGTCGGCCAAAGTATTACTGAGCATTTAAAAAAAATGTCAGTAGTAGCACGGAGTCTGGGATTGTGCCCGGTATATGGCAATACCCCCTATTACATGGGACTCATAACATAAATAGTGAAAAGTGGTTGTTACATTGTAATTGTGTTAAGTGCCGTAATGTATACCTTTGCCTACCCATTCGGGGATAGAAGGCGTGATGTTATGTTATATTTTATATGGTATATTTAATTTTGTTATACTCACTTTAAGGTACCCATGTCCCCCGCAGGCCTCCCTGCACTGCTGCGCGGCGGCGAGGACTGTCCACGTCAGCAGTGGCTTGCTGCACGATACCATCGCGTGGATCTCTGACACTGCCTCGCTCTGTTACCATTATAATGTTTATTATTTACTTTCGAATGTATCAAGATGAAATAATATTTGAGGTAGATTTGTCTTTAGTACTATTTAATTACAAACTTAAAAATAATGCAATAATGATAAACTTCAACAATAACTATAAGATTGTACATTTTACTCAATAGATTTATTATAGTTCTATTGAGTCAAAAATGTGACCTATCCTAGTTTAATGAGTCTTCTTCAATGTGTTAAATTCTGATGTTTATTCGAAACATTTCACCATTATCCTAAACTATTTTTAATTTAATACTTGTATGAAGTAATTGTTACTCACCAAGTTATCGACTTTGAGGCCGGCGTTGGATTTCTCGACGATGTTTAAGTATACCCTGCTGAAATTCTCTATGTACATCCTGAACACTACTGCGGCTGCTACGTATCCGAACAGACGCCATTGCTATAAGATACAAAGAAACAATTATTAACGACTAAAGTTAGAAAGTTTTATTAAAGATTTAGTTTAAAAACATGTACTTAGGTACTATTTTTACGTTTGAAAAAAAAAATATTAATATTAAGTCCATTCGCTTAAAAGGCTTCTTAAAAAAATTATTTAAAATAACTTCAATTTCGAGACAAAAAATAGCGGTCCATCGGCTATTCTGATTCTGATGTTTAATATTTAAATTCAAGATCATTCAAGTTATAAAAACGATCACCCTTCGAATTATCAAAGAATACAATAGTAAAGCAAGCAACTCACATGTAACTCGTACTCGATGAGTGAGATCTCGTTGTCTCTCTCACCGAACTGCGCACGCGTCGCCGCGTACCGGATCGCTATGGAAACCGCGCTCGCTATCGAGTGGCAGCTCTCCTGCATTATGCCTATACGACCTGAAAGCAAAAAACAAATAGGTATTGTTTAATTATAGGATCTCTTATTACCCAAAAGACAGCCAAGGGTAACATGTACGTAAAACCAACTTTTTGTTAATTATAACAAAAGAAAGGTTAGTTTTAACAAATAACAACTGGGCACGAGGAGCTGATGAAATGTCAATACAATTTCAATCCAATAAAATCTCAATAATTATTCAATGTCAAAACTATACAACCCCAATCGTAGCTGTTGACTATTTCATTCAGAGTACGGAATATAAAGCCAAACTCAATACCATATAGTTCATTAAACATCCACGCCATACGAATGCAATGGGCGCTAGTGTTGCAACTCAAGAGTACGAAATTTCACAATACCAACATCGATCGATCGGAATTGAATTCCAGAGTAAGCCTAAGTACTATGGTGCGTCCACATCTGGGATGTGGACGCACCATAGTGAAATGAGTTACAAATACGTGACATTTGAAAATTAGATAAGATAAGAACTTAAATAGCTTAACAAACCTGCTGAGAGGTTCTCAAGGGCGGCTCCCAGGATTTTGGAGGGGTCTGAGAATGAGGATTCGTAGATACCCTCCTCCGTGACGTCAGCTGTACGGTTCAGGAGGTTCTCCCGGGGTATCCGGTACTGGTTGAACATTATGAAACTGAAACGAACAAAGACGGTTATAAAGTACAGATTACAGAATATTTAGGTTATATTTCTTAACACTTCTCTGCCAGTCTTGTCCTGTCCTCTAGCTGTATCGGTTGTCTAAAAGACCTTGGGTTCGCCTACCAGGTTGTGCAAACTTCCTTAAGGAGTTCCAATTTACTAACCGACCACGATTGAACATTTCATGTTAGAGAGTCAGAAATATAATCTTTTTTTTATTTATTTATTATACGGTAGTTTCCTAAATTTTATTTTAATGTCCGTCTTGTAGATTATTTTAAAACATTAGACACGTATTTTTCGTTTCTCACAAAATTCAATACTTTCGAGGATATATTCATTTGAAATATCGTGTGACGTCACAGCGTGCTATATTTTACAGCACGTAGTGACGTAACGACGTCCCACTCCTAAACTTAACGCCATTTTATCTAAGTAATGTAGCTTTATACAAGAAAATAATAAAATACGTGTCTAATATTTTTTCATTACCTAACTGACGAACTAAATTGATTGTTAATTTTCTTAGCCTGGCAACTACTCAGATCTGCACTTATAGTACAAGGCGGATTTAATGCCTAGGGCATTCTATGCCGGTCTACGTTAGGTAGGGTGGTGTAGAGACATGACATGGTAGGAGCAATCGTGGTCGGTGTACTCCTAATACCTTTTGAAATTGATACATTTCAGGAACCTCACGACTTAAAAAGTCACAGTTTTGCTTTCTATAATACCCTTGAATGTTTATACACGTGTTTTTTCGACATTATCACGTAATTACAGCGATATCTCACAGTTATTGAATAAATACATTGACTGCTAATTACTAGTAAAAACATAATATATAATGAGTAATACAATTATCATTAATGAGACAGTTATTGATAAACAAATCGTACGATTAATTATATATTTCAAGGTGTGAATATTCTCACGTCTCTATTTTGGGAATTTCCGAAATAACAGATTAGAGTTGACTCATTGAGGGCAGTTTTTTTTAAGTAATTTTTTCATGACCCTATTTTTGAATGCTTTATGAGTTATCTAATAACTAGGTCATCTTCTAAATAAATAATTTAAGTGTGGGAGAGCCATGCTTCGAGCCATTACGTACGTACATCACATATATTATTCCTCGAAAAGATGGCAGCGGGATTTACAGTCTGATGTCATTATTATTAATTACAATACTATTCAGTACAACAAATTTGTTCTCTAGAGTAACAAATATGAACTTTCATAATTTAAATAAGACTTTACGCTGCAATAATAATAATATGTGAAACAACAAACTACAGGGTGGCAAGTTGGCAAAATGGCACGGGCCTCTAGCTGGAAGGGGTAAGAAGGGGTAGAAGGGTTAACATTTAGGGGTTTCATTCAGGTTTCATTCATCCCCGTTCAGGGGTTTTCATTTGAACTTCTCTTTTTTATTGGGAACGGGGGCCTATCCGATAAATTTGCCATGGGTCCCGAACGGTACAGTTACGCCACTGGAAACCAGTGAACTTATTTTGCAAATTGTATACAAACTAGTACTTTTACACGTCAATTTAAAAAAATATCTAAATAAGGTTGACATTTCCTAACTGACTACTCTGAGAGACAATGCTGATGAAACAAACTCAGAGGTCCATCTCTTTTATTAAAGTCCAGACAAATATGTATAGAATAATGTGTGAGAGCCGTGCAAGTTCACTCTGTAGTGGCCTTTTCAAGAAAAATATAGTTGTAAAAAAAAAATATTATTCAATATTTTTAAGTAAATTCTAGTTTAGATACCCATTCATTGAAGGACGCTACAGTCTCACAATTTACATAAGTACTTAAAATCAATACGAGATCCACTTAATCTATGACTCAAATACTTCTAGAAAACCTACGCACATACCTCCAGTAAATGACTAATAGCAAACGTACCTGCATATAATGTTATCAAGTTTACGTAAAAATACTGATAAACGACAACAATTATTGTTATAAAATACGTAGAAACTGATAATATAACGCAAGTAACTTTAATATTTCTGCAGCCTTGGGACATTATTTTATGAACGGTACTGATATAAAACTACTAAGAACGTATGCCTTTTTTTGAGGGTGGAAAATCTTCCAATGACTTCTCTCTCGCCCGGGTGAGGCGAGAGGGAGTGTCACTCTTACTGACTAAAAACCACCCCGTTCCTACTCCTGCTCTTCGAGCCTTAGCCCCAGCAACCCGTTAGGCCTTCCGCGGCTCCGTATCGGGTATCAGCCCTACTAGTCCCCATCTTTGGTGGTCTTTGAGAAGAACGTAAGCCTAGCTTCTTATTTGAATTCTTCCTATTTGCTGAACAAGATTTTCAGTTCTTTTTCTGAGTTAAGATAGATTAGTTCGATAACGGGAATATTATTCAATAATGGAAAATCAGCATTTGTCAAAATACTTTTCTGCGTATAGCAATAAATGAATCATGATAATAAAATAAAAAATGTTACATTTAATAAACAATTTTTTTTCTCTTATGAGTAATAGATCAATATGCAGTTATAGGCTTTGCCTCGTCCGTGAACAAATATGTTAGTTGTAAGTCGCGGAGAACCTAACGCCTCCCCCAGGCGGGAGGGAGTGTCAGACTCTTACTGACTAAAAACCACCCCGTTCCTTCTTGGACCCCATCTGTGGATTTTTAACTCGTTGAGTACCGTCATTATAGACACAATTAAAGAACAATAGGTTGCGGTCACCGGAGTCCGCGCGGTGTTTGACAGTTTAAAAAAAATCATGATTGTGAACCCCTGTGTGGCTTGAAACAAGTTGAGCATCCTCGAATAGTATACGCGAGTGAGCGTTTGACCACTAAGTCAACTCGTGGTAAGCGATGATGTGGCCAACGATGGAACACGCCTACCTACAAAAAACCTATGTATAATTTAGTATGTCTCACGCTAGTTTTTATACAAAAAGTCATGTAATTATGCAATGACTAAGTGTGTAAACATGGACTTTGGAATGATAACGGAAGAATGACTACTCTGTCTGGTAATAATACCTCAACGTGCCAAAGTCCACAAATTATCATATATCTTAGGTACAAAGTACAATGTTGGTAAAAATAGTTTTTTAAAAGACGTAGACATAATTTGTTTTGAGATAACTTAAATTATTACTTAAAGATACACGATAGTCCATTGCTGGGTTATGATTCGCAACTTTTTTATACATATACATTTTTGATAGGCCGACGTTTGACCACCATCTCGCCTGCTGGTAAGCGATGATGCAGTCTACGGTGGAGTACGTCGTCCCATAAGCAACCTATTTACTCGGGCCTTGAAGACTCCCGGTTATACCCTTTAGGAAATACAAACTCTGGCAAAGAATTCCACTCCTTAACAGTACGCACAAGCAAGTTACATCATTATTATTTTGTTTATACTTTATACATCGAAAGTACACCTTATGGCAAAATTGTTTTGAGAACAAAATAGGTATAATATGATTTAAAGTACAATCCCAATGATAAGTTCAAACTCGAAGTTCCAGATCGAACTCCTACTCAGAACTCATACTTACAAACACTGTATCAACAATGAGACAACGGTTTTTTGGAGTCAGATGAATAAACTTTTTCTAACTATTTGCAACAGTTATCATTAAGTTAAACAACTGATAAAAGTTGCTATGCTAGTTCAAATATACAATGTAAGTATAGTTTCATAACAATTAAATAATGTAGATTAATATTTCATTAACATTTACTATCCCTCTAAGACGGGATAGGACTATCCCACCCCGTTGGCATGTGTTCGCAATCGCCTACTGCCGAGTAAAAAGGTTTCGGGGTCAATTCTCGGATCAGACAAAGCATTATTGGGTATATTTCGGTTTCTCAAAAATACGGTAGTTGACAACTTGTCAAATTAAATACTTTTATCGAAACATCAAAAACGATACTGTTCTATGAATTTTGTACGAAATCCCTACTTATGACGTCATCATATTTTCGCCACTTTATATCTAAAAAAAATGCCAGAATAAATTGAAAATTAAGTATATCGACAAATTAATGAATGAAAGTGTAACTATTTTTCAATATTTAATTGGACTAAGTTCTCAACCCACTGACGCGATGTAATGAATTTTCGTTTTATTGTTGCACTGATGTATGCTACTCTCATCTCGTTTTATTATTTGTTTTGTTCACTTTGTTTAATTATCTTTAAATTTCATTTTCTCCTTAATTTTGTTTTTATTATGGCTATATTTACATTTACTATCGCATTTTCATGATGTCAACGTATCCATCCTTTTTTTTTTATGATGATGATGATGATGATGATATATTTTATAAAATTTATATATCTTGTTATACTTCCAGCATATGTCCGATACTGACGATTTTATATCTGCTGACGATGATGTATCTTCGACTAATGACAGTTTCTGTTCTTTGGGCGGTTCTCTTAGTGATTTAATTAATCGTTCTTTCTCGTCCGACAAATTTTTCAATGTTTGCCACATAAATGCACAAAGTCTCCCGAGCCATTACAGTGACTTCTATGAAACATTTAACAATAGTAATGTACATGCCATTCTGCTTTCTGAAACCTGGCTCAAGCCGCAACTCCTATCCACTACCTACCCCCTTACAGGTTACATTCTGCTTAGGAATGACCGGATTGCTAGGAGAGGGGGAGGTGTGGCAGTGTATCTTCGCAGTGACTTCCCTTACAAATTACTCAAACTTTCTCCCGTTAATTGTCCTGCTGAGTATATATTCTTAGAGGTTTGTGTCCAGGGGGCCAAAATTCTTATTGGGGTTGTATATTGCCCTCCAACTGTCGATTACTTCACTGAATTCGAATCAGTTTTGGAATCCGTGGGTTCAATGTACGAGCATCTCGTAATCATGGGTGACTTCAACACTGACCTCCTTACCCACTCCCCTCGATCCCGCAAACTCCTACACCTGGTCGAGTCAACTAGTCTGCACATATTACCACTCCAAC